GTATTGACAAATTTTTAGTGTACTAGTTTGAATGCCACTGAGCTGATGACAACAACTGCCTTCGACAGCAACAAAAACTTCTTTTAATTCCCATTTCTTTCATTCACTTACAGCTATCACATTTTCACTATTCCACTTCGTTCTTTATATTTGATTTGATAATAACTATATTTAGAACATTGCATTGCATTGCACTCAGTCTCACTCTCTCACTCTCTCTCTCTCTCTCTCTCTCTTGTTGATTGATTGGCTTTTGAGTGTGGGCAGACAGTTTTCTTTACATTTCTTTTGATTTCGTCAGCCATAACTATAAATAAATTAATTATGCAAATGTAAACAATATATATATCTCTCTATTAGCATTTTAATATCTTTATTATTGTTTTTGAGCGAAGCGTGTGTTGTTTTTTTTTTTCTCTCTCTTCTCTTCAATCCTCAGTTGATATACATTATTTAACAGTGTTTTGTCATGCTAATTAAATGTAATAATTTTGTTTTTGCTCTGTCTGCAGGTGCGGTATTTCATTGAATGCAGAGAGCGAGGGAGACGGAGAGTGAAAGAGAGAGAGAGAGACCCAGAGGCAGCAGCAGCAACAGACGTACAATAAACAAATTTGTAGAGCTTAAAGAAATGCGAATAAAAAACAACTAATTATGAATCTAATCATAAATAAATCAATTAAGGCACGAACCAAGCGACGCGACGCGACGTCAGCAACAAATTTACTATATTGTTGTTGTTATTATTTTTACCGTTTGATAACCTAGAAAAAAAAAAGCGTCTGTAGCGTGAGTTTTGCTTGGGGTGTTAAACTGGACACTAACTAAAAATGTTGATAAGAGCACCGTGTCAGCGTCACTGTATATGTTTGTGTGTATGCTTGGAAGATGTTAGGACTTCGCATCAATCGCTGTTAGATAACACTAACAGTCTGCACTCTGTTATTGCAGAACATTTTGGGAGCTGTGCATGGGACCAATTCATACGTATATTTGTATAACAGACATAGACTAGACATACATAGTTATATTATATTATATTAGTATACAACTTTATATAGCCGCAGTTTCAGTCGAGCACGTGTAAGCTACGCTTGCTATTTACGAATATATAAACACATTTCAAATACGTTGAACAGTTGTAGTAAATGTATGTAAATCTGTATTAAAATATATAGAATAACTCTTTTACATATATAACAGTTCATACATGTGCTCATGCAATATGCAAGACTAGGGTATAAATGGAATCGACAAGACAGAAGAATAGATTACATACATACATATATACATGTTCTGACAACTGTTAACTGTTTATCTGCTGCTGCTTCTGTTGCCTCCAACTCAGTTGCATTGTCGCCGTAGCTGTTGATGTTAATGTTGTTGTTGTTGTTATTGCTGATGCTGATGATCATTTTTATGTAAATAGATCTTTTTATAGCTGGTTGAATGAATGCCGAGTGCAACACACGCGCCGAATACGTCTCACATTTGCCTATTAAAACTTTAAATAGCCTTGTTTATAACGTTACCAGACCACATTTGGCTTTTATTTGTATTTTAATTTTGATTTCTTTTATGCATAATTTCGTCTTAAACTTCAACTTGAGACAATCAAACAGAGGCCTACGCATCAATACATAAAGACAATCAGTTGAAGTGTGTGTGAGAGAGACAGTGAGAGAGAGAGAGAGAGATTGAGTGGGGCGGGAGTGCTGCAGAAGAAGCTGCTTGTCAACTACTGCTGTCCTACACCCTGCCCTACATATGACAGGCTATCTCACTCCCTACTCTTCTCTACTCTCTCTCACTCCTCACTCACCCATACCACTCCACCCCCCCCCCGGTCGCTTGCTGGCCATTGGTCGCGTTTGGAAATCTCAAAACTTGTTTATACAACAAAATGTATAAACAAGTTTATTTTTATACTCATTCACGAAAGTGAATCAGTATATTGGTTTTGTGCAATGTCCGTCTTGCTGTCCGTCCGTCTGTCCGTCTGTCCGTATGAACGCAATCTATTTCGGCGCTATTGAAGCTAGAGACTTGANGCAGAGACCTCAAATTTTGTATATATACTCGGACTGATCACCCAAGACCAAAAAGTTTTGTCGGATATATGTCCGCCCACAGGGGGCGTGGCAAACCGCAAAAGTTTATATCTCCTAAAGTATAATAGCTAGAAGCTTCAAATTTGGATAGTTGAGTTACTGGTAGCCTCCTCTATCGATTCCCCAAAAATAATTTTTACGCCTCTTTAGGGGCGTGGCATATCGAAAAATACCCTGTAATTTTCACATTTTTTTAGGGTAAGCATTCAAACTTTGCAGTTAGGGTAACGTTATCTCTTTCTAAAAACTGACCAAAAATGAGGTGTCTACGCCCAGTTGGGGCGTGGCAAATCGGAAAAACCTGTATATTCTACAGTATTAGAACGAAACTTAACTATTAAATTGTTGATGGGATGTGAATGAGTATTCCGCAGTCGGTAACGCCCGACTGCAACGTTCTTACTTGTTTTGTGCTCTGCCTTTGCGGTTGCTGTTGTTGTTGTTGCTTTTATTTTTCGGCTGCTGCTGGTGCTGCCTTCCTTCTTCTGCTTCTTCCTCTTCTTTGCCTTTGCTTGTGTTTGTCGTCAGTTTCGTAATTTATTCTAAAAGCGTTCCGTTTTGGGCTCGCTACACACACACACACATTGAGTATTTTTTATACATATTTATGCATGCACACGCACACACACACACACGCACATGTGCATACGAATGTATTAAAATACTCACTTTTTATATGTATAGATATACAGTTTTTTTTTTGTTTTGCTTCTGCTGCTTTGTTTTGCGCTTTGAATTATTCAATATTACACTTTTGGTCTATTTGTTGTTAATGCTGCTTCTGCTGCTGCTGTTGTTGTTGTAGTTGTTATTGTTATTGTTGTACGCCTCAGCGCTTTCAGCAACAACAACAACAGCAACACTGAAGAACTTTTGCACGATCTCCAGACCGCAACAAAACAATCACAACAACAACCATAATAATAATAATAATGCATAACAATTCAATTTCCATCAAAATAAACGCATTATGCAAAAACCCACAAGAGCAAAAGAGGGAGAGAGCCAGAGGTGGGGGTGGGACAGGGTCTGGGGTTTAGATTTGAATTGCTTGTGCAATGGGTGTGGCCAGCCCAGCTGCTTAACATATGCATATCAAATTGTTGTTGAAGCTGCTCGTCTGCAGTTTGAGCAGCGCGATCGTCAAACTGTGACACGTGCAGCTAGTGGCTTGGGCAGCGGCGAAAGACAAAAACATAAGAAAACGGCGAAGCGGCGAGAATGGTCAACTAACAGCTGTTATTTGATTTAACCTTGAAAACGACACACACACACACACACACGCATGAGTGTAGAATCAAAGTGGCTTTTGTAGCTTTACGCGTGTCGCGTCTTGTCTTAAGTATTTTATTTATTTTTTTTAAATAATTTTTTATGTACATTTTTGCGTTGTCATCGTCAAAATAATCGACTTTTGATATTCAAACATTAGTCATAGAGTCACGATAGACATATTCTATATATCCCATATTCTATTGATTCTTTTTTTTTTTTTAATTACAGTAGTCATTCGCTAAGAGAGAAGTTTTTATTCTTAATTAACTAAAGATAGTCTGCCATTTATCTTTTTAGATGTATTCCTTCTTTTTTTTTCTACCCTTTATTGTTTATAAAAATATTATCAGATATATACGTACATATTGCATATATTGCAACAAAATATATATAAATGTACATATGTATATATGTTCAAACTTTATATTATATTTTTAAATTTTGATTAGTTCTGCACATAATAGAACGCAACATTCTAATCTAAAAACATCCCTATCTAAATTTTTGTATAAATGTTTTGGTTTTTGTTTTTACCATCCTCAAGATTATTCCTAATTACTTTAATAAGTTTATTATCATATTTTTGCATCTCTAATTAGCTCGTGTATTATTAAAAAAGATACAAAGGGGTTTTTGTTAAATAATATACGAACTCTTCATAGAATCTTAAACAATTTAAGTATTTTTAAGGCCTTTCTGTCTAAGAGAGAGCGAAATGAAGTCATGTTTTGAATTACACATGGGAATTACCTGCTGATCTAAGAGATCAGTTGATGTTAATAATAGAAGATAAAAATAAAATAACTAAATAGAAAAAATGGTTTTTATTAAACACAAAAATAAAATAAAAGCAAAAATTCAAAGCGGAAAAAAATGCGATCGGTTGGAAAGGTACAGCAGTATAAAGATGCATACAGTAAGCAAAAAAAAATCCGGCACAGGCAGAAACGAGCATATCTGTATGTATACAGGGTGTCTCTAGCGAAGGAGCGATGAAGGCGAAAACAGGTGTAGGGCAAAATTAAAGCAGTGCGCACAAGCACACCATATACACCGTACACACTCGCACACACACATACAAGCACAGGCACTGCTAACTGTGCATTAAATACAACAAAAAAGTACCAATTGTCAGGCAAAAGGAAGAGGCAATTTCTTAGGCCGACCAACAACAAAAGGCAGTGTTTTTTTTTTCTTTTTCATGAATGACCCTATTTTGTTTTGCTGCTCCTCGCACGCTGGTTCACTGACGCATACATATCTATGCGTGCGCCTGTGTGTGTTTGTGTCAAGAATAGGCAGACAACAGCGGCACTGCCGGCACACAAAGCATAAAGAACGATAATACACACGCACACAGCATACATATATATGTATGCATGGGTGTGTGTGTGTGTGTGTGGAAGTTTGGGTGTGTTGTTAGGCCCTATGCTGCGTGGAAAATGGTTACGCTGCGCATAAAGCAGAATGCGATAAAATGCTTATAATTAAATATACGCACAAATATATAATGTATGTGTATGTACATATACATATATACGCATATTTATGTTAGATCTACTTGTATTTTTGAATAGATATGTATATGTATAAATATATGTTGCAACGACTTACATTGGTGAAGAAATCTATAAATTTTTCGTAGTAGGTAAAATTCGGATGTTTCTCCTTAAAGTTCATAAGCATCACAGTCAAATCGATCGCTTCGGGCTTATTGTTATTGTCGCTACTAGAGTGGCCGACTTGTACATTCATGCATTTGCACGAGTTCATGATGAATTTTGATTTGTTGGTGTTGTTGTTGTTGTTATTGGTATTCTGTTGCTTAACGGTATCGTTAACTGATTTCTAACTTCACAAATTGCACTTTATTATTTGATTTGGTATTTTAAGTTTTTGCTTATTTTGATTTTATGCGTGACTTCCTCGTTCGTCCTCTGCGTTTTGGGCTGAAGCGGCGCGGGAGCGTACAAAATCACTGTATAAAAAAACACCCACAACTATCTTCAGTTCAGCATTTTAGCGTCCGTCCCGTTCAATGTTATTTTTTCGAATGAACTCTTCGATTATCGGATCTAAGCGATATTATGTTAAGGCGCTGCACAGCTGTAAACACAAATGTTAAACGCCAGACCGGCATTATGCGGCATGTTACCACACTGTTTGTCGAAAATGAATATATTTTATGTAAATTGATGACACTTAACTTAAATTTTATTTTTCTGCTGCCTTTTAGCTAGTTTAAGATGATTTTCACATGCTTTTATAGTTCTTATTTAAAACGGTATTTCAGCTTGCAACTTGCTGATTTTTGCAAAACACATACGATAGCGTAAAAATTCATCTGTCTACTCAGATGGCACTGCCAACGCAAGGTGAGCAATGATAACGCTGAATTATATCGCACTCGTTCTTTACAAATATCGATATATTTCTCAGTGCATGGTTACACTGTGCAATCAGCTGTTCGTTGGCGCAAAATTTCAAGTGGTAAATTAGTTTTTTGTTTTTGTGCAAGTTAAATATTAAGAATATAAAAGCGTGTGAGCGTCTATTTAATTATAAAAAAATATATGTTTTATTGGTATGCTTATGTTTGTTTTGTTCATTGTAATTAAGACTGTCTACTGTCTACATTTACTGAGCCCTATATAAAAAATGCATTCGATTCTCCTTGCTCTTGCACCTGCACTTGCTTTGCTATGCTGAAATGTATTTTTGTGTGGCGCTTGATTAAATTATAAATTCGCCCCAATTGTTGCGCTGTGAACATCAAAAATACATGCATCTAGCTGAAAAGAAGAAGAGTAAGACGGAGAACGGCAGTAAAAAAAAAATAGAAGTAGTAAAACTACAAGAAACTCGGGGCGAAATTCATAAAGACCGACACGTGCCGGGGTTAAGCTTGGAGGCCATTTCCATAGTCCAGTTAGGAGTTTGCTTTTTTGTAATACCCTGTAGCTCGAGAATGTTGTGGGGTATGTTATGCATATATGTATGTTTTTTGAGAATATATATATGGATTGAAATTTTTATTTATATGTAGCTGTGGATATTTACCGATCAAAATGTTTCCTTTTTGAATATATGTATGTATATCTTTTTCATACAGGGTATTGCTAGTCGCGCAACTCAAGAATATATACCTACATTTATGGATAGTTTATAACAATACTTGGGCTGATTTAAATTTTTTTGCTTTTGTCAGGTTTTTTGTCCTCGTCATTTAGCTGCTTACAGGGTATATGTTAGTCGTACAGTGCTCGTGCTTATGCATAATTTATTATTATATGACTCATATCTTGCTCAATAATACACAATGCGTGTTGCTTACTCTTCTTGTCGTCCTCTGCTTCTTTCCACAGTTTACAGGGTATTTGCTCGTCGCTCAGTCTTAGCCTGCATTATTTTTCATAAATTATGCCTTGCTCCGCCGTCCTGTATTTTGTTTCCCTTTTGACACCTGGAACACGCTGCAGCAGCCTAATGAAAGTGTTGGGGCTAGCCATAGACAAGTGTGTGTGAGTGTGTGTGTGTGTGTGTGTAACTGTTGTATAGAGCTTACAACTGTAGTTGCGACTCGCTGGGTCGTCGCATTGGTCTGTAATTGAAATTGCGTGGCGTACGCGGCATTAAGTCATAAAAGCAACAACAACAACGACAAGAGATAACAGCTTACAGTAACTGACGACAAGAACAACAACAACAAATGACAACAACTTGAACCAGTTTGTCACACTCTGAGGCCAGGCACGTACCCAAGAAGAGGTCAAAACGCACTTGGCTCTTGGATCTGGACACAGCGCCAGGGCCACAAAAAAAAAAAAAAAAACTAAATAAATGAAGACCCAAGTAAGCAAAATTGTGAAATTTTTTATACACACATATATTTAAGAGTGTGTGTGTGTGTGTGGGTCATAAAAGGCGAACGTAGAACAAGTTACCAAATTCTGGCTCAAAACTTAATGAAGGTCTTCAGTTCTGACGAATCGTTTAAATCGTCTTTGTCACAGCATTCACACTCTTAGTTGGAACTTATGTAAACCCTATAATCCCACCGATCCATATAGCGTGCATTGACTTGAATGCCAAGAGCCAGATGAACTTGAGCTTAAGATTGTGAAAGTTTTATGAAAGATATTCTTAAAGCTGCATTAATTTCTGGGTAGATTAGTCTAAGAAATGCTAAATTTAGCTACCTAACCTATTGCCAGACTCAATTAAAATATATTTTTGGTTTCATGGCAATATGAAACCTTAAAGCCTCTTTTTGACCAAAAATTGTCAATGAATCTTATGTATAGAATCCTATATATAGAATATATATAGAATATATAAGCAGTACTAAGAGTAGTAATAGTAGTAGAAGGAGTAATAGTAGTAGTAGAAGTATTAATAGTTGCAGTAGAAGTAAAAATAGTAGTAGTAGAAGTAGTACCAATAATAGTAGTAGAAGTAGAAATAGTACTAATAATAGCAGTAGAAGTAGAAATTACTAATAGAAGTAGTAGAAGCAGTACCAATAATAGTAGTAAAAGTAGAAATATTACTATTAATATAGTAGAAGCAGTACCAATAATAGTAGTAGAAGTAGAAATAGTACTAATAATAGCAGTAGAAGTAGAAATTACTAATAGAAGTAGTAGAAGCAGTACCAATAATAGTAGTAAAAGTAGAAATATTACTATTAATATAGTAGAAGCAGTACACATAATAGTAGTAGAAGTAGAAATAGTACTATTCATATTAATAGTAAAACCCGCAGTACTAATGGTAGTAGCTGTAATATCTCTAGCAGGAGCATTAATAAGAAGAGGCATAGTAGTAGCAATAAAAGTCGTAGAAGCAGTAGTAAAAGTAGTAATAGTAGTAATAATAGTAATAGTAGTAGTAGAAACAGTAGTAAAAGTATTAATACTAATAGTTCTTCAATGGAGCTCAGATGTTCTATGATTTACATATATTTTGTATGATCTACATATATGACAAACTTATATAACTCGTGTCCTGCTTCTCCATAAACCACACGATTGACTTTAGTTACGCCCAACAAAAACTTTTGAGTAATTTCATTCAATTTGTTTTCGTTTTTTTTTTTTTTTTTGTATGCTTATTTATATTTAGTTCTATAGAAGATCCAGGCACATCCTTTCCCAGCGTTCTCTCTTGAAATTTGATCTGTGATAAGGAATATAAATAAATATATATATAAGGAGTAAGGGGAGAGAGCGAGGGGGGAGAGAGAGCGGGAGGGAGAATAAGGCGCAAGGAAACGCAGCGGCTCCCTATTGTCTTTAAGGACCTTTTATATAGCCTTGGAGTCTTATCAAGGCGACACAGCTTGGATCTCCCTCACTCACTCTCTTTATCTCTCTCTATCGCTCCCCCGCTCTCTTGCTCTCACTCTCTCTCTCTCTCTCGCTCTCTCGCAGTGTCTCCCTCTCTAAATGGTAATACAATACTTTTGCGCTGCAGCTCCTTTTTAATTTTTCGCGAGAATTAAAGGCGGAGGTGCTTTGGCTTGGCTCGATCCTTGGTCCTTGTCTTGCCTGGCCCGGCCTGGCCATACCTTGGCGTGCTCTAACCGTGCTCCTTGCGCTATCCTGCCAGCTATTATATTGTGTCAGCAACTTTATAAATTGCGCACAAAAACAAACCGCCCGCAAATGCCAGCCAAAGAATTTCGAATTCTCTCCGTCTTGAGGTCTTCATTGTTTTGGCTGCTGCTCCTGCTACTCCTGCTGCTTCTCCTGCTATTTGGTGCTGCGTGTCCTGAATGCCAATCAATCAATCAAACTAATTGCGCGATCCATAACCAGATCGATATCGATTTACATAACACAATTGTGCGGCACGCTCGAAACCAAAGGAATTTCCATTGAGATGAGGCAGAGACTGAAGAGGGAGAGAGAGAGATCTAGGATATATATGGAGGCTGATCAGGTCGTATGAATAGCTGAAGATCGTGTGCTGATCAATTTGAATGGTAGACGCTAAGTTTTTTAATTGATGTAAATATTATTATCAGTTAACGAGCCCAGAAGTCCTAGAATAATACCGGGAAGTTCAGCGAGGCCAAGAATAAGAAATCGTAGCACAAGGTAGTACTGGGAACTAGATGAAATTTTAAGTTTAAACGGTAAAATATTTAACATTTGCTTGTGAAACGATTAATCTTATCGATCAGTCAGTCAATCAATCGATCAGTCAATCAGTTTGTCAGCTGCTCTGTCAATCCGTTAGTTTACGAGTTAATCAATCAATCATATAGCTCAGTCTACTGCTCAATCAGTCCATCAATCAGAGTGTCAATCGAATTGCCAGCTACTCAGGCCATCAGCAACGCCGTCAATCAGAGTCAATCAGTTAATGAGCTACTCAATACTTCAGATAGTTTGTCAAATCTGCAATCAGTTCTGATTTAGCTGGATTTTTATGCCCTGAACCCATTGATGGGAAATCTGGGGATAATACTGTACAGCAGTAGAATAAATATAGTATAACGGTACATCGAACATTTACCGTTATTTAAGAAATATGTAGTATGTATTTTTATTTACATTATTTATATACAACTGTAGTTTACTACAGATATGATCTCTTGACAGCTTAAATTTTTACCATATCTTCATCTATGTTTATATATAGCTTAAATCTCTTCATAACTTCAAATTCTCAGCAGATTGCGTAAGTTTTCCCCAAGAGAAACTCTTTTGTCGTCTTAAATTCGTTTACTTTTATTAAATTTCTTCTTCTTCTACTTCTTGGATAAACTCTGACTAGATTTGTCTACATTAATCTTAACTAGAAATGCTTTTGTGCCTTGCTTTTGACCTGCTTTTGTGCTGCCAAACGACTTGTAACTGTATCTGTGGCCCACCCATGCCACGCCCTCAGCTACGGATGCAGATACATAAACGAGTGTCGGCTACATACATACATACATACATACATACATACATACATACGTATATATAGCCGATAGCTGACACGAATGTTGTACATAAATATATGCACATGTGTGAGTGAGTGTGTGTGAGTGTGTGTTATATACCTGGTTAGCCAA